GCTAATCCGCCGCCTTGCGGCGCCGGCACACTGGGTTCTAGTCCCGGTTGGGGCCCCGGATTCTGTCCCGGTTGCCCCTCTTCCAGGCCATCTCTCTGCTGTGGCCAGGGAGTGCAGTGGAGGATGGCCCAGGTGCTTGGGCCCTGCACCCCATGGGAGACCAGGAAAAGCACCTGGCTCCTGGCTCTCTGCTATCGGATCAGCGCGGTGCGCTCAGCTCGCAGCGGCTCATTGGAGGGTGAATCTAACGGCAAAGGAAGACCTTTCTCTCTGTCTCTCTCTCTCACTGTCCACTCTGCCCTGTGAAAAAAAAAAAGACAGCTACACATCAAAGTTTAGAAGTAAAATGAGAGAAATAGGAATGTTGGCAGATAGAAGTAAAATAGGAGAAATAGAAATGCCCGGAGATAGAGAAATAGAGGAAAATAAGGCTTCCCCACAACACAGCAATGAGAGAGCTTGGATTCGGTCTGCCTGATTAGTAAGACGATAAGCACCTGTGGGCGGCTGCAGGTCACCGAAGACAGGCATGTCATCAACACCAATAAGTCTCCCCACAATACGGCAATGAGAAGGCTCAGATTCGGTTTGCCTGATAGGGCTTGTAAGCACCTGCAGGCAGTTCTAGCAGAGCAGAGCATGCGCTGCAGGACACCGAACACAGGCACACATCAGCGCCTAAAAACCTCACAACATGGCGAAGAGAGGACCCGGATTCGGTTTGCCTGATTGATAGGGCTTGTAAGCACCTGTGGGCAACTCAAGCAAGCAGAGCAGAGTGTGTGCCGCGGGGCACCGAAGACAGGCGCGTATCAACGCCAAAAATAAAAAGAAAGGGGGATCTGTGGGGAGCAACTGGGAGCAACTCGGACTAGACTAAGTTACTGGAATTAAGACTTATTCTATGCATCTGCTCTCCCACAATATGGCGCTGAGAAGGGAGGAAACAGCTTCTACACAGCTGCCTCCAGTTCAACCAATAAACAGCAGGACCTGCTCCTGATTGGAGGAGAGCAGCGTACTTGGCGTGTGGGCAGCCGAGTTGGGATTGGTGGAAGAGGACTATAAAGGAGGAGAGAGACAACATGCACCGGGAACATCTAAGAGGAACACCTGTACAGCCAACGAGAGAGCTGGCCGGCGGTGTGCCGCTCCCCCGCGGAAGTGGGGAAGGTGGCAGGGGGAACCGCCCTTCCACGGAGGTGGAAGGGTCGGTAGCCAACCCGGGAAGAATCAGCAGCAAACCCGGGGAGGGCCGAGCAGACAAAAGAACAGCGCAGGGTCCTGTGTCGTTCCTCCACGAAGACGGGGAGCGACAGTTGTTTGAAAGGTAGAGTGACAGAGAGGTGGGAGTGGGGGGAGAGCGAGAGAGAGATCTTCCATCCGCTGATTCACTCTCCAAGTGGACACAATGGCCACAGCTGGGCTGAACTGAAGCCAGGAGCCAGGAACAACTTCTGGGTCTCCCACCTGGGTGTAGGGGACCAAGGACTTGGTCCATATTCTACTGTTTTCCAAGGTCATAGCAGAGAGCTGGATCAGAAGTGGAGCAACTGGGCTCAGCACCCATATGGAATGTTGGCACTGCAGGTGGTGGCTTTACCTGTTATGCCACAGAGCTGGCCACGAAAGGTGAATATTCTTTTTTCCAGCAAGTGCTAATATTGTTTCTATAGTGATAGTTTAGATAGGCCCCTTTCCAATTTTAGGGTGTTTATCTACCAGAGTAATAAAACATGTATATACACATATTGTATATGTATATGTAGCTTTAAAACAGTGGTAAGTGGATTCTCATGTGTTCATCATCTCAGTTAATAGTGGTCCATGGTCCTGGCTAATAAATAAGAAGCTCCTGTGTGTCTTGCTCGAGTCATATTTTCTGCTCAATCCCCACCTAACGTAACCCCTCTCCTAATTGCCTTTTTTTTTTTTTTACCATTTCCTTGCTTAAATAAATCTGTTTAGTCTGCCATGATTTTGAGATTTACCTAAATGAAACCATACTTTATGTAATCATAGGCCTTATATAAATGAAATCATGTGTTTTTCTGCGGTGTCTTCCATCTCTGAATATGTTGATCGGGAGGTTTATCCACAGACATGGAGTTGGAGTTCCTTCATTTTTGCTGCTGTTTTGTCTTCCATTGTTGAGCACAGCTCACCTTATTGTTCATTGTCCTGATGCAAGTGTATTTCACATTCACTTCAGAATAAGAAGTGATAATTCGTTCCATTATAAAGCTTTCATTGATTTTTGTTAGTCTATTTGCCAAACAGCTCAACTGAATCCTTAAATACTACTCAATATGCAGAACAGAAATTAAAATCTGTATTTCTGTCATCCTCAAGGTATCATTAAACAGAACAGTAGCCTACCCTGTCCAAGCCAATTTGCAGCCAGTTGTGTTGTTCTGAGAAAAAAGACCATGGTTTCATAACCTCGTATGTATTTTACTACACAAGCTTTTGCTTTCCTTTGCAAAAACCTTTTCCCACTCATCAAATAAATTGACAAACTTGTGTTACAGAGAATGGCTTCTTAGCCATGTTCTTTTTAATGGATTTGACATTCAACAGGTTATGCAAATCTGGTGCTAGATGTGGCTACTAGTGAAAAGAGGATTCGGGGTATAATTAATGCATACATAAACTACACCCTAACAGCTAGACATCTCCATTTATTATGACAGGCAGGAAATCAGCTGAGGCTGATAGAACAAAGAGGATTGAAATTGAGATACTTCTTTCCTCCCTTTTTTAGTGGTATCACATTCATTTAAATGTGGATTAAATTTTAATATTTAAAAAAGGAATTTTAAGGGTGGGCAGAGTTAAGCAGAGTTAAGACACTGCTTGGAACACCCACATCCCATATCAGAGTACCAGGGTTCAAGTCCTGGCTCCACTTCTAGTTTCAGCTTCCTCTGGGAGGAAGCAGATAATGGCTCAAATGCTTGGGTCCCTGCCATCCCTGTGGGAGATCCAGGTTGAATTCTGGGCTTTTGGCTTCATTCAGGCCACACCTTGGCTGTTGCGGGCATTTGGGGAATAAACCAGCAGACAGAAGATCCTCATTTTCTCTCTCTTCTTCTCTCCCTCCCTCTCTTTCACTGCCTTTGAAATAATTTTTTAAAAAAGAAATCTAGTTTACAAATTGCCTTACTATTAAAATATATTAGGAAGTAACAGAATGTACACGTACATAATTTCCTTGTAGTTGAACATGTACGGTCCACGGTTCTAATTTGTCTTTAGGCTACTGGAGTTGAATCCAGAAATCAACCTCATGGTGAAACTCTTAGAATCGTTGTTCAGATGATTACTAATAACTCTTGTCTTCTGTAAGTAACTTTGCTGCATTTATTTATTGCCATAGCCATAGCTCACTGGCAGTGCCTTTAGTATGGTAGGCACTAATTATTTCTTTTTCTTTTCTTCTTCTTCTTCTTCTTTTTTTTTTTTTTGGATAGGCAGAGTGGACAGTGAGAGAGACAGAGAGAAAGATCTTCCTTCTGTTGGTTCACCCTCCAATGGCTGCTGTGGCCGGCACACCGCGCTGATCAGAAGGCAGGAGCCAGGTGCTTCTCCTGGTCTCCCATGGGGTGCAGGGCCCAAGCACTTGGGCCATCCTCCACTGCACTCCCGGGCTATAGCAGAGAGCTGGCCTGGAAGAGGGGCAACCAGGACAGAATTTGGCTGACTAGAACCTGGTGTGCCGGCGCCACAAGGTGGAGGATTAGCCTATTGAGCCGTGGTGCCGGCCACTAATTATTTCTTGAATGTGTGCATCTGAGGGCCTTAATATTCAAGAGTATGTTTGGACTGATATATATTTAAAGATTGATTTATTTATTTGAAAGGCAGAGTTACAGAGAGAAATAGAAACAGGGATCTTTCGTTCTCTGGTTCACTTCCCAAATGGACACAATGACTGATCCTGAGCCAGGCTGAATCCAGGAGACAAGAGTTTCTGGTCTCCCACGTGGGTGCAGGGGAGACACTGGGCCATCCTCAGCTACTTTCTTTGGCACATCAGCAGGGGCTCAAACAGGTGCCCGTATGGGATGCCAGTGCTGCGGGCCTTGGCTTAACCTGCTGCACCACAGCACTGGCCCCAAATTGGTATATTTTTATTAGTAAGGTTTGCAAGAGCAGCAGGATTTAAGCTTGGTGTTAGTATAAATTTAGGGAGTAACATGTTTGCTGGTGCCTTTTTGGAGTACTGTGTCTTGTATTTAACTTACTGAGGCTCCTGTGGGAAAATGAGGGCAGAGACAGAGCATCTTGCTAGGTCTACACATCACATCCAACACCTTCTATGGTAACTGGAAAAGACGCTCTAGAAAAATAGTTTTTTTTTTTTTTTAATGGGATCCTGTTTAGTTTAACAACTTTCTATAGTTTACCAAATACTGTCTATATGAAAAACACATTGTTGGTATATTATTATTATTATTATTATTATGCTTATTGCCAATGTTTCTTCACAAGTACTGTGGCTTCCTATTTCTTAAGGTTTAAAAAGTTTCAAACAAGTACCACAGGCCTGTGTGATCTGGGTCTGCTTCTGCCTCTGAGGCTTCATACGGTATTTTTTCCTGTTTCATGTCGCTCCACATCAGAACTCAGTAGGATGGTGCTTTTGGCTCCTTCACCCTGCAGGGTCTCTGTACATTGTTCTATCTAGGACTCGCATGCTAATCCATTCCAGTTCTGAGCTTAAAAATGACTTCATCAGAAAATATGCCCTGAAGCTTCCAGTCTGTCCTTTTCCTTGAGTATGTTCCTTGTAATTGGATAATTCATTGTGTGACTAGTTGTGTCTGTTGGCATACCAGCTTAATGAGGCAGCTATATTACTGGTTCACCCCTGAATTCACAGGCTTGTCTATGGTATAACCAACAGTGGATGTTCAATAAGTATTTGCTGAACCCATAAATGTTGAATGAATCATCTAAAAGTTGTTATTTTTTTTTTCTTTTTCCTCTCTTTTTAGCTGGGAGGTTGTGAATTCTAAACCAGATGAAAGACCTAGATTCAGCCACTGTATTGCAGAATCATGGATGAATTTCAGCATATTTCTCCAGGAAATGTCTCTTTTTAAACAGCAAAGTCCTGGCAAGGCAAGTTTTCCAGTTCATGGGTGTGTTTTAAAATGTCCTTTTTAACAAATGAACTAATCTCTTTGATTAGCTTGCAAGAATTCTCCAAGCCTGAGTTTAATGTACTAGGAGCAAATGCAGTAAAAGCTGCTATCAGCAAGGTTCAGAAATGTTAGTGTGTGAGCAGTAGAAACTGAACCTCATGTTTTGAAATTGGATCAGCTTTATGTTTTATATATATTTATCTAACTCACTAACTAGAATGAGTGGTGATTGATCTTATCAGAAAAACCAAAAAGAAAATACCGTGTTAAGAATTTCAGTTACAGTATTGGTCTGATTCCAGAGTCAGAGAGAGATGAAATGAACACACAGTCCACATAGTGTGCTTTTAGAGATAACTGACTCTTAACATGCAATCAAGAAAGAGGGGATTCTTATATGATTTAATTAAGAAAGAAAACTTTTGGCAAAAACATTGATCATGAATCTATAAATGGAATGGATATTTTTCTTTTTTTAAAGAGGTATTTATTTATTTGAAAGTCAGAGTTACACACGGAGAGGAGAGGCAGAGAGAGAGAGAGAGACAGACAGACAGTCAGAGACAATGGTCTTCCATCCACTGGTTCACTCCCCAATTGGCCACAATGGCTGGAGCTGCACCGATCCGAAGCCAGGAGCCAGGAGATTCTTCTGGGTCTTCCACGCGGGCTCAGGTGCTCAAGGACTTGGGCCATCTTCTACCACTTTCCCAGGCCATAGCAGAGAGCTGGATCGGAAGTAGAGCAGCCAGGTCTTGATCTGGCACCCATATGGAATGCTGGTGCTTCAGGCCAGGGTGTTAACTGCTGCGCCACAGCGCCGGCCCCTGGATATGTTTCTAAGATCAAAGCCTGAGGGGAAGAGTCTTAAGTGGTTGGAAAGGGATTATAAGAAGTGCGTGTACTTGCACTGTGATCAGCAGTCTCGGCAGCCTGGGTGATGTGCAGAATCATCAACAGACCTGGTCTACTGCGTGTTGCCTTTGTGTTTCTTGAATATCCAGCTGCTGCAGCTAAAATGAAAAGCTAGGACTGACAGCATTTAAAATCCCACTCATTATACTATATGTGGGCAAACTTATAACATGTTAAATAGAACTATGCTTGACGATATTTTGAGCATGTTAAAGTTGCAGTATTGTATTGGATATATATATTTTTAATCACTGGAGGAAATTTTTAGAATAGATACCCATATGAGGGACATGATGTATTTTGATGCCTATTTTACTGAAATAATTAAATATATTCTAGGAACATTCTAAATTCAGACTTCAGCACTGGATTGCACTAATGTGCCCCAAGTCAATTAGCTTAAGATGAAGATATTGCATAGGACTGTAAAGAAATACCTGGCACAGGACACTTATGAAGGAAAGAAGTTTGTTTTGGCTCGCAGTTTTGTAGGCTCACAGTCCAAGAATGGCTCTGCCCTATTGGTTTGACCATCTGGTAAGGCCTGAGGATAGGGATGGCATTGTGTGTGCAGAAGCAAAGAAAACTGCCGACCTTCTCCTGAGACCTACCTTCTAAGGGCATGCCCACGTAGATCCAAAAACCTCCCACTAGGTCCATTTCCTAGACTCTATCATTGGATTAAGTTTCCATACTTTTAATTACTATTAACCTGTGTTTTGGGGATCTGAATATATGCATAAGTTTGGGATCCAAAATCAGGTTCACACATGGCAAGGAAATCATAAGAAATTCATGTGCAAACTGAAATCTGGATATAGTAATGTTTTTATTGATTTGTTTGTTCCTTTGACTTTAAAAAAGCCATTGCTTTTCAGTTTCATTTCTAGATCTTCAAGTTTTCTAAGGGCTTTTTGAAGTAGTATTTTACAAGTCCATGTAGTCTCTTTGTTACTAGTTAATTTATTAACCGTATGCCAAAGAGTGGAAAGTCAAAGTTAACCTGAAATTCAATTAATTAAACTTCAATTCAATTCAGTTATATTAAACTTGCTCTTTGTGTTAACCAGTCATTGATCAGAGGTGTGTATTCCTTCTTTGTGTGTCTTTTGAAATTCCTTTAATGAGCTTTCTTTGTTCACTTATCAATTTAATATAATATCACCAATTAAAGACAAAGAAAAAAATAAATAAGATAATTTAAGACTGAAGTATAGAAATCAACTGAACACCTTATAGGAAAAATTTTTGTCTTGGCATTTTTTTTTTTTAATTTTTGACAGGCAGAGTGGACAGTGAAAGAGAGAGACAGAGAGAAAGGTCTTCCTTTGCCGTTGGTTCACCCTCCAATGGCCGCCGCGGCCGGTGCGCTGCGGCTGGCGCATCGCGCTGATCCGAAGGCAGGAGCCAGGTGCTTCTCCTGGTCTCCCATGGGGTGCAGGGCCCAAGGACCTGGGCCATCCTCCACTGCACTCCTCGGCCACAGCAGAGAGCCGGCCTGGAAGAGGGGCAACTGGGACAGAATCCGGCGCCCCAACCCAGACTAGAACCCAGTGTGCCAGAGCTGCAAGGCGAAGGATTAGCCTATTGAGCCACGGTGCCGGCCTTGTCTTGGCATTTCTATTGGGAACTAGGGAAATTTTCTGTGGATTGTTTTTAAATTTATAAAAAGCAGCTAAGTATTTTATTTATTTTATTTTATTTTATTTTACTTTATTCTGGTTGTAACTGACAGAGAGAAGGAAAAGATTCAGATTTCACTGGAGGAATTTCATTTGCAGTTGGTTTCCTGGTGACCCAGAAGTGGGGTCAGCCTGAGGCATGTGTATGATTAGGAAGGAGGCTAGTTATGGCCATAGATTTACCTCAACTGGCAGTTTTTACATTAGGTTTATACAGATACCTCTTATTTCTGTAACATGTTTTGCTGTGTTTATGAATTTTGATCATATTATCATGATACTTTGAACATGCAGATCTAATTATAAGGCTGTATTACTTTTATTAAATGATGCAGAGTGAAAGAAGTTTCTGGGGCCATATTCTTCAGTTCTCTTGGACCTTGTAGTAATATAACCACAAGCATTACTAATGAGAGTGGTGATTCTCAGTGTCAGAAATTAGCCCCTGTGCCTTCTAAAGGATTATTACTAAGTATTGGAGCAGACTAAGGCTTTCAAAGCAGTAGTCACTAGTCAGCCCTAAGTGGAAAAAAATACAGTTTGAAAAACATTTGACATAACCTGAGAGATCACATATAGATACAAAAATATGTGTGTTTATCCTAAAATGTCTTGGTGTTATGCATAACTGTTCCATGCTATTTCTATTATTTGTAGTTTTGTCTCCTGGTCTGCAGTGTGTGCACATTTTTTACGATCTTGGGAAGTTACATTCCTGGGGTTATACTCAGCTATCTATTGTGTAAGTATAGTAGAACACTTGGATCACTTGTGTAATGCCTGTGGTATTATTTAGTGGTCATCAGGCCATAGTTTTGAAGAGTAGGGATGAGTTCTTGCCTATAAAACAAGTTGGCTCTTCTTTAATAATTGCTGTACAAGGTTTCTTTTCTTAAAGATATGTTTATATTTTAAAATTAGAAGAATAGCTGTGAAAGGCAGGATTTTTATGTCAATAAAACTATAAATATTTGTCCCCACCTACAAATACACCAGCATCTTTGCCTTTGTGCACGTTCTGTGATTCAAAAAATAATTAAAACCCAAATGAGATACCATTGCACCTCCACAAGGATTGCTAAAATTAAAAATGTTGACCCTGTCAAGTACTGGGGAGGATATGTAGCAAGTGGAATTCTCACGTATTTTCTTTGGTGGCTAGGTAACTGCCATTGTGTTGGCAGTTTCTTAAAAACTATATGACCCTGCCTTAGCTGGGTATTTATCCAAGAGAAATGGAAGTATCTGTGTTGTTAAGCTTTTTGTTACTGTAATGAAATATCCGAGGAATGCTAACGTAAAAAAGGAAAGACATTTATTTTGTTAATAGTTTTGGAAATTTAGATCCAAGATCGGGCAGGCCTCACTGATGATGTTCTTACTGGCAGAATCCTAAAGTTGCAAAGGATTTTCCATGGCAAAGGACATGGAGTTTGTCTCTCTCTCTGTCCTTATAAAGTCACAAGGATTCAACATGGAGACTTTACCCTAGCGACCTAATCCAATTTAATCACTCACACCATTAAGCACTTTAATTAAGTGTTCACTTTCTCCAAGCAACTAACATAATACTTTGGGGAATGAACATCTGAGTTCAGGGGTCAAATATCCAAACAATAACAATATGTGCGCACAAAGACTTGTTCACAGTGGATTTATTTTTAGCAGGCAAAAGCAGAGTACAATCTGTGTGTCCTTCAAGAGATGAATGGATAAACAAACTATGGTAGATTCTTATAATGGATTACAGACTATGGTCTGTTCTTACAATGGATTACAACTCAGCCTTAAAAACTACTTGTTATACATGCAACCCCATAGATATGTCAAAGAAGATACATATATGGATATGAGTATATCTCTAAGAAGAAACCAGATAAGAGAGTGTATACTATATAATTCTATTTATATATAATTCTAGTCTAAGTAATCTTTACTGACAAAGCAGATCACTGGTTGCTTAGGGATGAGATGGGTGGTGGTAGGGAGAAGCAGGTTGAGAAGAGGAAGCAGAAGGGGAAAGATTAATAAAAACAGGAGGAAACTTTTGGGGTGGTAGATATATTCACCACCCTTATTGTGGTGATTGATTCTTACCTGAATGCATATGTCAAAACTTAACAACTTATACACATTAAATATGTGCGGTTTATTATATATCAATCATAATTTTAAATGATATAAAATGTAGATTTTCTGCTACTGAAAGAGATGAAGATCTGACACCACTACCATTTTATGAGGCAAGTGCTCTCCCTTTAACCCCCATATTTTCCTAATTTTTTTTAACTCTGGCCTTTAAAATTTATAGGTAATTCTTTGGCCTCTAAAAATATGCAAGTTCCCAATTCTTATTTGAAGTAGCAGACATTTCCTAACACCAACAACACAGAAATAAAACAATAGAATACATTCAATGTGGCAGTCTAATTTCCTTTTGTATTTCAATGTACAACACAAAAATGCAAGTGGTCAGGGCTCAAATCCATTCTCCCAGATAGAACTCCTTTATCATCACCCTTTTGGTGCACATTGTTTAGGAGTTAATGGAGAAGAGGTGTGGGGAAGGAGCAGGTAGGACATCAGACTGATGGTTGCATTCATCTCATTTATAATCTGCATTAACCATAAGAAATAAAGGTATTATCCAGATATTACTGATATGCTAATAAATAATAACATTCCCATGGGAAAATGGCATTTAATAAATAAAACTGAGGTTTTAATCTAGGAATATTATCTGAAAGAACACATTTTTTTCTGTAAATTTTGAGGGTAAAAGGGAATTGATCTAATTGCAAGTCTGAAAGCAATGACTATGAACCCTTCTGAGTGTGCTGTAGTAGAAAGTCTTTTCATTACAAGAGAGGAATAGAAATTACGAACTTACCTCACAGAGGCATTTCCCTAGGGGAAAACACTTCTGTTTTCCACATAGAAACGTAGTATTTGTGAAATCCTAAGACGTAGCCTTTTGAAGGGAGCGGCGTTTTTACCTACACCTCTTTTCTTCTTGCTTTCCAGTGTTGTGTGCATTCTTGTGTCCGCTGTTTAAGTGTAATGATATTGGACAAAGAATATACAGCAAAATCAAGTCAGTTTTGCTGAAGCTAGATTTTGGAATTGGAGAATATATTAACCAGAAGAAACGTGAGAGATCTGGTAGGTAAAGTTGGAAGTTTAGATTCAACGTGTGAAATGAGACATTAGCAGTCTATTTATTATGAAATCACCTTCAATACATTTCAGAAGACGTTTACTAAATATTATAGGAGCTAAGTTCCCCAAAGTTAAATGCACACACACACACACACGCATACACACACAGCCTTTTCCTAGTTAAAGGCTTTTATTTTTTATCTTGAATGTACAATACATAAATAAATTGGCTTTTTAATCCAGACTGTCAGGGGAGGGAAAACAGACTTCAACAACTCTATATTTTGATATTTATTATTTATTGGACTATTACAAAAAAAGGTAGGTCTAAGAATTTGGGAGTCATGTTGAGGGAATTGGAAGAACAGGGAAAGGAAAACTTGCTGCATTTATTTGTTAACTTGGTGTAGGATCTTGGATTCTCAAAGTATGGCATGCATCAGAATCACCTGAAGAATTTGTTAAGGTGAAGATGGCTGGGCCCCACTCCAGAGTTTCTGACTTAGACGAGGGTCCAGCCTGAGCATTTCCAATTCCATAGAGTTCCTGGGGATGAAAAGGCTGCTGTTCACACTCTGAATATGGGACATTTCCTTTGGAAATCAAATATTTTGCAAACATGTGAAGCTTTTTAAGTGCAAAAATTTACTTATATGTAGGCATGAGAAAAAATGAGGAAAACGGGATAGGAATACATAATAGAAGAGTATACTGCGCCTATGTTGGCCAGGAAATTGAAAGCTTCTCATTTTTTTCTCAACAGAAGCAGATAAAGAAAAAAGTCACAAAGATGACAGTGAATTAGACTTTTCAGCTCTTTGTCCTAAGGTATTTTTTGCTTGATTTTCAATTTGTTTCTGTGTGTTTTGACCATCATTTAATTGAAAATCATAGCTGAATGATTTTGCTAATAGACTCCTCCTATTTTATAAGTTGAACAATTTCAAAAGAGAAATAATCATCTGGTTTGTATTATTCTGACCTTTTGAAGGTTATTAGGGAATTTTCCAAAAGGTTTCTCTCTGCAGTTCAAAGTGTGCCATGGTGTTTTTATTAACACAGATTAGCCTCACAGTTGCCGCCAAAGAGTTATCCGTGTCTGACACAGATGTTTCCGAGGTGTCCTGGACGGATAATGGGACCTTCAACCTTTCAGAAGGATATACTCCACAGACAGACACTTCAGACGGTATGCTAATACCCGTGAACAATTTTCTGTTTATCATTTTGCAAAAATATGAATTCTGTCAACTGTTGAATGGATAAATAAAATGAGGTGTGTTCACAACATGGAATATATTACTTGGCTTTAAAACTGAATAATGTACCAGTACTTGCTGCAACCTGGGTGAGCCTTGAAAACACTGCTCAGTGAAAGAAGCCAGACACAAAAGGCCACTTATTGTATAGTTCCAATTATATGAAATGCCCAGAGTACACAAGTCCACATTGAGAGAAAGTAGGTTAGTGGTTGCTGGGAACAGGAGGTCAGGGTCGGGAGAAATGGTGAATGACTGATAGTTGGCACAGACTCCTTTTCAGAATGATGATGTGTTTTAGATCTAGATGGTTATACATCTTTGTGAATATACTAAAAAAAAAATCACTGAATTGTATACTTTAAAACTGTGAATTTTATGGTACATGAATTATATCTCAAAAGCTAATTTTTTTAAAGTATAAGAAAAAATCTAAGTTAATGTCCAAATCTGCCTTTATTTAAAAGACCAAAAAAAAAAACAAACAAACAAAAAAAAACCCTGAAAAAAAATTAGCCTCTGAAATGTCTGGCAGCATTGCTTATGGCAAGAACTGGAGAGAAAGCAGCAGCTGATTCTGTGCATTCAACCCTAATTCTGAATTAGGGATTCAAAGGCTTAAAGCATGAATTCCAAAATTTGTCATATTTGTCTTCAAAGTTTAAAACCTTATTTTTTATAATTAGTTAAATTTCGTCTGTAACCCACATATGAAATAACACTTGTGCAATGACTTAGCTGTTGCTAGTCTCCATGGTTTAAGTCATCTCAGCCACTTATTGCTCACATATACATATGAGCAGATTATCACAAAGACACTCTTCTATACTTATTTTCCAAGGATGCACTTTCTTTTTCTATGAGAAGGTAGGACACAGGCTCTGCAGCATTTGAAAGAGGGGTTTGGAGGTTGGGAGACCCAAGTGTATTCTTATTTTTGTCATTAGCTAACTATATGAGCTTGAGCAGGTGACATAATTTCTGTAGGCCTCATTGTCCTCATTTTTAAAGTGGATTAGTATGGGGCTGGCACTGTGGCGTAGCGGGTGAAGCTGCCTCCTGAAGTGCCGGCATCCTGTGTGGGTGCCAGTTCGAGTCCCAGCTGCTCCACTTCCTATCCAATTGTTGTGGTCATTTAGGGAGTGAACCAGCGGATGGAGGACCTCACTCTCTCTCTGCTTCTCCTCCTCTCTCTATGTAACTCTTTCAAATGAATAAATAAATCTTTTAAAAAATAAAGTTGATTAGTACAAGAGGATCACTGTAGTTCACTCAAGCTCTACAAGCTCGAAACATCTACAATTGTGGTCATATTTTAAAGACCAAGAGATATAATGTACTTTGTTCTCAGATTTATACAAAGAGGATCCAATTTACTTTTAGGGATTTTCACTAATCGAAGACAGCACATTACTGTTGCAAGGAGTTAATTGTTATGGAAAGGATTCTCGATGGGAAGTAAAAACAATAAAATCAGTCTGTCTCCTAATCTGATATTTTTTAAAATATCCTTAATCTTGGTGTGGTCAGGTTCAGCTATATTTTGGAGAGCCATATGTTTCCATAAGTTCTTAGGTTGAACATCAAATAAAAGGAACAGTAGCTTCTTTTCATTGCTTTAAAAAAATGTTACAGATAAGTAGACTTGCATATATAAAAAGCTGAGGCTAGATAATATTTACAATTTAATAGAGCATATTTCATGAAAACTTCCAATTGAAGTGTTCATTTCATGATCATACATATCCCTGTTAGCTTAAGATAATTCCCACCCTATGGGCAGGATGGCCGTTTTAGGATGATAATTTTTTTGTAAAGATTTATTTATTTATTTGAAAGAGTTACACAGAGAGAGAAGGAGAGGCAGAGAGAAAGGTCTTCCATCTGATGGTTCACCCCCCAATTGGCCACCACAACTGGAGCTGTGCCAATCTGAAGCCAGGAACCAGGAGCTTCTTCCAAATCTCCCACATGGGTGCAGGGCCCAAGGACTTGGGCCATCTTCTACTGCTTTCCCAGGCCACAACAGAGAGCTGGATCAGACGTGGAGTGGAGCAGCCGGGTCTCGAACCACCGCCCATATGGGATGCGAGGTGCTTCAGGCCAGGGCGTTAACCTGCTGTGACACAGTGCTGGCCCCATAGGGTGAAATTTTAAACTGTAGTCAAAGTCTCAAGCTAATATTAGATAAGAGTGAATATTAATTTTTATGTTTAAGAGGAAAACTAACTATATGGGGATAAATGTAGTTTTTGTATACTTGTAGAAAGACTAGGGAGAGGCCCAGTATGTGATTAAATTAATTCAACTTGACTCAGGAGGCTAGATGAATGCCAGGATTGGCCAGAGAGTTCAGATCAAAGTCAGATTCTTTTAGACAGCTCTTTTACTCAACTTTTTTTTTTTAATTGTCCTTACACAAGAACTTCTGTATTTCACAGATCTTGATCGACCTAGTGAGGAGGTATTCACTCGAGATCTTTCAGATTTTCCATCTCTAGAAAATGGCATGGGAACAAATGATGAAGATGAATTAAGCCTTGGTTTGCCCGCTGATCTCAGGAGGAAAAAGGAAAAGTTGGACAGTGGTCATACTCCAGGCAAAGAGAAGCAATCAGCAGCTGGTCTCACCCTCCCGTTGAACAATGACCAAACCTTTCAGCTGATGAGCAACCTGGCCGGGGATGTCATCACAGCCGCAGTGACCGCTGCTATCAAAGGCCAGCTAGAAGGCGCCGCTCAGCAAGCACGTTCTCAGGCTGCAGCCAGCCCAGCAGAGGACACAGACACTGAAGAAGGTGATGACTTTGAGTTACTTGACCAGTCAGAGCTGGATCAAATTGAGAGTGAATTGGGACTTACAGAAGACCAGGAGGCAGCAACACAGCAAAATAAGAAGTCTTCTGGCTTCCTTTCAAATCTACTTGGAGGCCATTAATCTGGGAATCACTTGCAACGGAGCACAGATAAACCACCAAAAATTGCAAACAAGCAAAAAAAAAAAAAAAAAAAAAGGAAAAAATTTTGAACTGTAAGCTTTATGATTACTTTAGATTTTTTTGTTTTATTTTCCCTTCTGCAGTGACTATATTGGATATGTATCAGCTGACACTGATAGATTGATATTTCTGATAGTTATTTTTATGTAATAAGCATGGAAATGAACTTTATATATGTATACTTACTGTGTTGTCAGAGATGAATATTAGGGATTGTTTTTAAATAAAAAGGAAAGAATCCAAAACCACCAAATTATTATGATCTCCCTGTAAGTATTCTTTATTTTTCCTTTATAGTTAATTTTTCAAGCATGCAAGAACAGTTTATTGTAAATCATTGAAAAATATTAACAATTAATTGTGAGTACATGCTGTATCAGCTCCCTTATTCCTAATACTTTGGGGAAAAACTGATAGATTTTGATGTAAAAAGGCAGAAATTATCATGTATCTTCAGTTGAGGGGCTTAGGAAAGATCATCAAAGTAAATTTCCTAGGAGAAATTTTAGAAAAGTGTTTTAAATACTGTGGATAGGCTGAAACATTTCCATGTTTTTTCTGCAGTTATAGAATTTGGCTTACTTGGGAAGTGGCATGTTCCACTGACTGCCCTTTCTTGCAGTGGCTGAGATGAACCCATAAAACGCAAGGAGTGATATCCCAGTAGCCAGAGTGGATGATGGATATGATGTAAACAGATTGAGCTGTTTTATTTTTCATTTTCATATGTTTGTAATAGGGGTGATGAAAGTGTGAATCTATTCTGTCTGCTGAGACCTAAGTTAAACCCTTACCTTTTATATTTTATCATGGATAAAAATCTACAATTGTGAAGCTAGTTCTTGATATGTTCTACAAGAGATATTATCAGCAATAAAGAAACAGTAACTCTGTTTTCTTAGTCTGTCTAGATAGAGGAGAGGAACTTGCTTGGCTTTAAAGTGTAATAAGTTGCCACTGAAGTCTAAATATGTCATCTGCTTTTTATTGGGAAGTTAGAATATATTTTTCCTTTATTTTAAACATTTATAGATCATCTTTAAATAACCAAATTTAACTTAATGGTTTTTAACAAAGGACTAAAAAGCAGAAAGCAAGCTAGTTTTGTTTTATGATATAAATTTATATTACTATTGAGGGACCATGTCAGCAACCACCAAAAATCTCTTAATTCGTCAGTGATAGCTGGCATTTCTATGGATGCACCCATACATCTGAAAGGAAGCAAAATCTAAGGATTTAGGAAATGTTTTCCTTCCTTTCACTTTATCCCTTTTCTTGTATGTCTAAAGACTAATAATTGTAGATAATCTGAGAGTTGAATGTAGCATCTCAATTATTATTTCATTCTGAGATATTAAACTGTCTAGACCAAATTTTGCCAAATGTTGAAGGGAGAAAAGTTACTTAAGACTGACACGTGCTTTCTGTACCGACTGTGCTTAGCTGTCGGCAGTGCCTCATGATGGTGTTTGTTGATTAAAAGTGAGCCTGTGCCTTCATTATCTTGCCCATTTTGGCAACAGTGGGAACCTGGTGGTAGAAAATCTCTGAACTGTGTGTTTCAGAGGAATCAACCTGAATTTCTATGACAGTTTCTGGACATGAAGAAAAATACAGTCACATATTTATAAGACAGTTGTTACCAGGACTCTTTTTTTAAATGTGTATATTTCTTCATTAAAACATACTCTTGGTCATGACATCAAAAATTGTGAAGGTCATTTCAGCTTTTTCATTGCAGAGAGTATAAGATACAGAGTACACCAAGTAATTAAAAAATAATGTTATAAGTTACAGAACAAGCTTACTAGAAGATACACTTAAGGGCTGCTAATATGTGATGGTATGAACAATAAATCTAGAATAAAATGTTACAAAGTATAAATGAAAAGGTATATGGGAATGGGAAGGTTGGCAAGGTAGAAAAATATGTTATCAGCACCATCGTACATATAAATATACACTTTAATATTATTTATATAAGATTATGTGGTTACCAATTCACAAACTAAAATAACTGTACTCTTCTAAAAACTTTTAACTCAAATGAGGATGTTCAGAGTTTGTGTGTGTGTGTGTGTGTTGGTGTGTGGGGGCATTGTTTCTGGTTTTAAGATACAGTAGCAAATAACTCTCTGTGATTGATCTAGCACAGTAGGTGACTATATATCCTATAACATGAAAATTTATGGGAATTTGCCCAAAGGAAATCAGCATATGAAAGAGTGATCTATACTCCCATGTTTATTGCAGCTCAATTCAGAATAGGTAAGATATAGAATCAACTTAGATATCCATCAACTGAAGACTGGATAAAGCAATTATGACATACATACAACATGGAATATGACATAGCGATAAAAAAAAAAAAAAAGAAATCCTGTTGTTTGAAGCAAAATGGATGCAACTGGAAACCATCATACTTAAGTGAAATAAGCCAGTCCCAAAAAGACAAATACCATATGTTCTCCCTAATCTGTGGTAACTATTAGGGTACCTAAAATGTGATCTATAGAAGTGATATTGACACTTTGAGATGTGATGTCAAGCCCTTGTCTTGACTTTTGAGGAACAGGGTTTGTTTTTTTGTTTTTGTTTTTTTTTTTTTTCCCCATACTATTTGTTGAACTCCTTATTTAGTGTAGGGTTAACCTTATGAGTATAAAGTTAACTGAAAATAGATTTTTGTAAAATAAGATTGGGACTAGGAAAGGGAGGAGGAAGAAGGGTGGGAGTGCAGGTAGGAGGAAAGGAAGATTTGGAAGAATCACTATGTTCCTAAATTTTTATGTGTGAAATACATGAAGTTTGTATACCTTAAATAAAAGGCTTCTAGGTAAAAGTAAACTAGAAGAAAAAAAAGGTGAACATAAAGATATAAAAAATTTTAAAAAAATAAAAATTATGTCAATGCAATATTCCCCCAATATCTAAAAAAGTTGCTAAAGGAAGGCTTGGGAGATTTACATGAATGCATTTAAAATGTTTGCCATGAGGTAGAGTTACAGACAGTAAGAGGCAGAGACAGAGAGAGGTCTTACTTCCATTGGTTCATTTCCCAAATGGCTACAATGGCTGGAGCTGCGCCGATCCGAAGCCAGGAGCCAGGTGCTTCTTCCAGGACTCCCATGCTGGTGGAGGGGCACAAGCACCTGGGCCATCTTCTACTGCTTTCCAGGCCACAGCAGCAAGCTGGATTGGAAAAGGAGCATCTGGGACTAGAACCGGCACTCCTATGGGATGCTGGCACCACAGGTGGAGGATTAACCTACTGGGCCACAGCGCCGGTCCCTAATCATGGATTTTGATTGTAAACAATAAAACAGTGCTCATGAAGTTGAAGCTTGTTTTGAAAGGTCAATCCAGGCTTCTTGAGTACTCTCATTCTGAAGCACTTCTGCATTTTTATGCACATTGCATAAAATTCTTCAAAAATTACTTTAAAAAATATGCCTGCTCCTCATTTAGTAGAATATTAGGAAAAGAGACTTTAAAATATTTTTTTGACAGGCAGAGTTAGACAGTGAGAGAGAGAGAGAGAGAAAGGTCTTCCTTTTTCCGTTGGTTCACCCCCCAAGTGGCTGCTATGGCTGGTGCGTTGCAGCCAGTGCGCTGAGCTGATCTGAAGCCAGGAGCCAGGTGCTTCCTCCTCGTCTCCCATGCAGGTGCCGGGCCCAAGGACCTGGGCCATCCTCCACTGCACTCCTGGGCCACAGCAGAGAGCTGGACTGGAAGAGGAGCAACCAGGTCAGAATCCGGTGCCCCGCTCGGAACTAGGACCAGGGGTGCCAGCGCTGCAGGTGGAGGATTAGTGTAGTGAGCCGCGGCACCAGCCCGAGACTTTGAAATAGTTTGCAGTTGGCAAATATTTTCAATGTATTTCAGCATCCTGCTCATTTAAAATACGTTACTTTCTTCCATGTAATAACTGGCAACTGCCAGCATGCTACTGATTTTAGGCAAGAAGAAAATCTACATTTGTTTAAGAAGAAAGTGATTTTAATATTTATATTTTCTGTTCATAATTTAGTTTATTTATCTACATTGTTCTGTGTTAACTGCAAGTTAGGAATTATTCTGAAAACCCTTACCAAGCTACTGTTGTCACAGATCATTTAAATCATGATCATGAAGCAAGAAATCTCAAAATTATATATCTACATTGTTCCTCCACTTCCACCACAGCATTTATGTTAAAAAAGAATGTTATAAATGAGTTCTGGTTTATCGCTCTGTGACACAATGTCAAAGTCATATAACATTCCCCAAGTCACAGTCTCAGAGTCCTCAGGGATAAAATAAGGAAGTAAATTATTAACTTCACACAGATATTTTGAGAATTAATGAGAAAATTAAGTATCTGAAACACTGTAAAGAGGAAAAAAGCCTGTATACAGCCAAAATACTGATAATTTCCCCTATGCTGCAACTAAGCCATCATCCTAAACATTAAAACAAAGGCAATCAACAAGTACTTGCTTCCAAGAAAACCCTAGAAGGTCCTTTTAATAGATCTAGCACTATATAGGCCTCATAGTCCAATAGATGCTTGTGGAATAAATGAGTGAAAAATTTTGCAAAAATGTCAGTCCTGGGGCCAGTGCTGTGGCTCACTTTGTTAATCCTCTGCCTGCAGTGCTGGCATCCCATATGGGCACTGGATTCTAGTCCTGGTTGCTCCTCTTCCAGTCCAGCTCTCTGCTGTGGCCCGGGAAGGCAGTGGAGGATGGCCCAAGTACTTGGGCCCCTGCACCTGCAAGGGAGACCAGGAGGAAGCACCTGGCTCCTGGCTTTGGATCGGCGTAGTTCCAGCCTTAGTGGCCATTTGTGGGGTGAACCAATGGAAGGAAGACCTCTCTCTGTCTCTCTGTCCAAAAAAAAACTCTCTCTCCCTCTCTCTCTAATTCTACCTTTCAAATAAATAAATAATCTTTATAAAAAAGAGAAAAACTGTCAGTCCTTTCAATTGACTCTCTGGAACTTTCTCTAGTCATTTTTAATAGTTCTGATACTTATCAGCTGTGAATCTCTGAGAACATCAAGAACTCTCTATCTCCTCCACAAAATAAAGACATACAGTACCTACTTCAAAGGATGTGGCAGGGATTAAGTGCCTAAAGGTTTAGGTTGGCCAACCATGGACCAAATCCATCCTGCCACCTATTTTTGTTTTGGCTACAAACTAAGAAATTTTTTTTTTCATTTTTTAATAGCTGAAAAAATAAGAAGACTATTTTGTGACACCTGAAGACTATATGAAAATAAAATTTCAGCATCCATAAATAAGTTTTACTAGAACACAGTCATGCTTATTCATTTTTGTATTACCCATGGCTGCTGTTGTGCTGTAACAGTGAAAGTTGAATAGTTACGACAGATAGACCTACAAAGGCTAATGCATTCACTCTGGCCCTTTACAGGAACAGTGTTAACTTTTGGTCTAAGACAGAAAACACTCAGTTACAGTTAGGATCTTGTTTATGCTTCATGACTAATAATTAAGTGGTATCTTAGTCCATCTTCTGTTGCTATAACAATACCTGAGCTGGGCAATTTATATAGACAAGAGGTTTAGCTCACAGATGTAGAGGTTCAAGATCATGGCCCCAACATCTTCTGAGCTTCTGGTGAGGGCAATGCACGACAGAAAAGTGGAAGGGAAAGCTGATGGGGAACGTGGCTATGTGTGGAAGAGAAGTCAGCTGGTGAGAGACAGGGGAGACTGACCTGCTCTCTATAAATTTATTCTTGTAATTAATCCAGTCCCTTGAGATCTTACTGACTCCCAAGAAATATAATCCAGTCGTAAGAGAACTAACCCAGTGTACTGAGAAAGACAATCAATTTATGAGGGTGACATTCCCATGACATACTTACTTCTTAAAGGTCCCACAACCTCTACAACCATTACATTGGGGATCAAGCTTCCAGAAGATGAACTCTGGGGAGCAGACCATAGCAAGTGGTATTGCCAAAGAGCAGACTAAATTGTCCAAGGTTAAACAGAAAAGGGAAAATCAGCCTGATCCAAAAGACTTATCTTTCTAATATATTATCTAGTATTTATTGTTTTTTTTGATACATTAATAGCCATAATTTTACATAATTTAACAATTTTGCTAAATATTAAAATACTGATTTTATTTTAGATTATTATCTTTCTTTTTTCAAAGAATCAATAAGCCAGCTAATAAATATTATTTTAAGTGCTTTGATAATCAGACTTTGCTGTAAATTTCAACTCAGGTAATTTAAGAATAGAAGATTTTACATACCGCTATCATTTGAATATTTTCCTGTCAAACACCAGGGTTTATTCTTCAAAGTCTTACACTGGTAGTACTAAAAGAGTATAAAGTTAATGCAGTTATGATATTTAGAGATGAGGCCTCTGGGATGTGATTACATTGGTTTAGGTTGTGAGAGTGAACCCTATGATTAATTCCTGCTAGCTTTAGGAGCGTTCAAAGAGACACAGACAAGAGTGCTCCCTGCTTCTTGCTATGTGATGCTCTGCACTGCCTGGGACTCTGCCAGCAGGAAAGACTTCACCAGATGAGTCTCTTAGACCTTCCTTACACCTGCAGAGCCATCAATCAAAGTAAACCTCCTTTCTTATAAATTCACCTATCTCAGGTATTTTGTTATAGTAACAAAAAAAAAAAACCCTAATACACATATCTAATACCCATAGCATTTACCATTATTTTTTATGACCACAGAATTCATGTTGTAAACTATTTGATAAATGTTAAATTTTTTATTTCTGGATTTGTTAATCCCCCAAGGTTAATCTTAACCAATTATATCCCCTTTAAAATTATCCTTTAAAAAAAAAAAAACTAAGATGCCATTGCAATAAAGGAATGTGAAAAGCAGTAAACCCATCACAAGAGACTATTCTAATCAGTACATCAATTGGCCTAAAGGCAATCCCATTAGAGTTTATTTTACATTTTAGAATGAACAAAGATTAGCATCTCAAAGTCCTCCAAGAATGAAACATTAACACTAACTGCACTGTCACTTTTCCAGTATGCACTGTAACTTGAGTAGTTTGAAAATTGACCTGTATTAAGAGCTATGTCACAGTAGCCATAAAAAAACTCTGATTTTCAAATTTAAGTTTTTTTCATGAGTGTCTTAGTTTAAATTCTTTCATTAGAGTGATCAATATGGTAATACATATTTTTGATATGTCAACAGATATTAGCTATGGATAGAGATTTTAACATTCAACGATCCCTTGGTTATTCAACTTTGATTAACCAAGGAACTATTGGCTATAGACTTCTCTTTTACTGTATTTCTCTAATCAGTTCCAGACACTGCTGCAGGATCTACTCAAGGACTACTGATTCCCATATAGACTGAATCACTTTGTGACTCCCTACTGTTTATCAAAAAAGCAACAGCAAAGTCTAGAATTCAACTCTTTTTTTTTTTTCCCCCAGGCAGAGTTAGAGAGAGAGTTATAGACTGTGAGAGAGACAGAGAGAAAGGTCTTCCTTCTGTTGGTTCACTCCCCTAATGGCTGCTACAGCCAGCACTGCACCAATCCGAAGCCAGGAGCCAGGCACTTCCTCCCGGTCTCCCATGCGGGCGCAGGGACCCAAACACTTGGGCCATCCTCCACTGCCCTCCCAGGCTACAGCAGAGAGCTGGACTGGAAGAGGAACAACTGGGACAGAATCCAGCGCCACAACCGCGACTAGAACCTGGGGTGCCGGCTCTACAGGCGGAGGATTAGCCAAGTGAGCCATGGCACCGGCCTAGAATTCAACTCTTTAGCCAATGATACTTTAACACTTTCTATTTATTTTCCTTGTTTACCTGTATCATGTTTCACCCAAACTAGACTTAGACTCTTTCTAGACATGTCCTTCATTTTCCTCTCTCCACAGTAATTCTATCTGCTTCACCCTCCCTTTTCCACTTGCAGATGAAGTCCTCAATCCTCCCCATCTTTAGGACCCATAGGAAGTGTCAGCTCCACTAATGAACACTTTGGTGCTCTTTCTACCTGATGACACTTGTCTATCACACCCTTTATATTTTGTTATTCAAGGCTCTATCTTCATTAAATTATATTTAATTGTGTATTTTTCCAAATCCTAACAAATTACAAAAGCTTCTTCAGGGCAGGAGTGTCTTAATTTAGGACCAGTAAAATATTATAAAGGTAGCATGGGGGCAATACTATGAGAGATACCAAAAGCCAGGAAACAGAATTTAAACTTTATCTATAGGTAACAACCATTCTTGAATACAAGTGGCAAAAGAAAAATACTATAGGAAAATCAGTCTGCATATTATTCGGCTTTTTGTTACTGTAACAAATACCTGACACAGTTACTTATGAAGGAAGGAGGTTTATAGTCCAAGATTTGATGGCCCCCTTGGTCTGGCATCTGATGAGGGTGATTAATAGCATAATGCATGCAGAAAGATCATATGGTGAGTCAGAAAGCAGAGGGATAATGGCTGGGCCTGACCCAGTCCTATTTAACCAACCCTCTTGAAAGAATTACTTTTTCAGGTATGCCAGTGACCTAGGGACCTCCCAATAGGCTGGCTCCTTTATAAACACCACAATTGGATCGTGTCTCCAACCTTAATCCATTAACCATTAACATTAGATACCAAGCCTTTAACACATGGGCCTTTCTGGGGCACCTAAACTAATATCCAGACCATGGGGAAAAGTAGAGCTGTCTAGGAGACTGTAGAGGAAGAATAGTACATTGGAAAAACAGTGTGCCAGAGAAACCATCACCACTTTAAAGAGTAAAAGTAAAGAACTATGCAGAGTTCAAAGAGGCTGGAATGGGTGGATCACGGAAATGGCCTACAGAAGACAGGGAGAACATACTTGTAACAACCTGAAGAACAGAAGCTGGAAGAACCATATAAAATAACACGCAAAAGTAAAACCAGAAATTCTTTCTAAAGCCATCCTCTACTTTACTTTTTTGGGAAGCTTGAGAATATACATTGGTTTGCTTTTTTCATTTGATGGCTAATACTAGTTACATTTGTTAAAGTATCTGTCCAGAGGGTTCAGCTATTTTATTTTTTTTCCCCAACGCACATTTTACTAGTGTCTACTTGTGTCACATCTGCAAATGTCCCATTGACAAAAGGAAGTCACACGGCCAGGCCTAGTGTCTGGGGGATGTGAGTGGAGGAACCACAAAAGGGCATAGAGAAGCAAGTGTGGTACATGGAAGGCCATTCATTTAACAATCAATCACAAGTTGTTTAGGAACAGTGCTCTCTTCCTACAGGCCATACACAACAGCTAAAACTAAAGAGAAAACCAAACCATTCTCCTGGAAAAACATCATTTTCCTAAGGGTTTTATTTATTTATTTATTTATTTATTTATATTTTTATTTTTTTGACAGAGTGGACAGTGAGAGAGAGAGAGACAGAGAGAAAGGTCTTCCTTTGCCGTTGGTTCACCCTCCAATGGCCGCCGTGGCCGGCGCACCGCGCTGATCCGATGACAGGAGCCAGGTGCTTCTGGTCTCCCATGGGGTGCAGGGCCCAAGCACTTGGGCCATCCTCCACTGCACTCCCGGGCCATAGCAGAGAGCTGGCCTGGAAGAGGGGCAACCAGGACAGAATCTGGCGCCCCAATTGGGACTAGAACCCGGGGTGCCGGCGTCGCAAGGCGGAGGATTAGCCTAGTGAGCCACCGCCCTAAGGGTTTTATAATCTAGTCTAGTATGTCTGCAATTTTTCTCAATGTCATAAAATTCTGAAGACAATCAATTTGAAAAATACACTTCTCAGAGAACATTTTGAGAAGAGAGAGGTCAAATGATGTGATGATGACAGTGTTTAGCAGCTTCCAAAACTTATCTTGGCCCTTCTGCTTTGAATGAGCAAATCTGTAGACAGAAGATTGAACCATAAGACCTTTAATCTGCTTTTCCAGTACTGAGATTTTGTGATAAACCATTTGGTAATCAGTCTATTACAGGGTTTCAGCTATTTTAAAAACTTTTTGATAACCTCAAAGTCAAGTTTTCTGGGAACAAAAAAGCCATCCAACTTAACTTTTGCCCTGCAAAAGATTAACATTTAATGAACCACCAATGTTCCAGCACTGTTCTAGCACTGGAGTATACAGCAATGAAAGGAGTGCCCGCTATCATGGAGTGTATACTCCCAATGCAGGTTACTGACAGGTAGTGTGACTAGCCATATTGTTTTGTCCAGGATTCAGGGATTTCTAGGATGAAGGACATTCAGTGCTAAAACTGAGAAATCAGTGATGAACAGCGAGTGCAAGCAGTAGCCCATTTCCCACATTGGTCCCCAAAGACCATCCTGCCGTCTCCCTTTTGGTATCTACAACCTTATGTCGTCCTCTCCCACATTAAATAAGTTGACCTGGGTAAAGTAACAGCATATTGTGGAAATGACTGTGTGTGACTTCCAAAGCTAGGTCATAAAAGACACTGGGGTCTACTTCACACTTTCCAGGGGAAGCCAATGGCCATCTTAAGGGGACACTCAGACAGCTCTATGGAGAGACTTCCATTTGGCAAGGAACTAAAACCTGTTGCTGTTAGCCATGTAAATAAGCCTTCTTTAAAGGAGATCCACCAGCCACAACCAAATGCAGTCAAACTTCCATAGACTTCCAACCTAGCCAACATGTTCACTGCCATCTCATAAGATCCTTAGAACCACCAGCCAAGCCACTCCAATGCCTGACTTAGAGACTAAGGTAAAAGATGATGCTAAATTTTTGGGAAATTTGATAGAGTGTTAGACAACTAATGCAGTTCTATAGAGAAAAGTTATGCCTAATAGAGTTGAACGTAGGCAATACTTTTGACAATAGGGTTTGGAAAAGATTGTTCAAGAGGGATTTGGGCAGAGAGCAAAGGGAGAAGGCCAGCAAAAGGACAACCCAAACAAAAGGCTAAAGGATTTTGGATTTACTACTAACAGAAGGTACTTGCTTGGTGTTGTTAGAACAAGTGTCATTGTGACCGCAGTGGGATCAGCAAAATTTAGAGGGGCTGTAGGAGTAGTGGGGAGTAGAAGATTTTGTAGGGTCTCACTGAACAAAGAACAAGATGTTTGAATTTTATTCTGAGTCGAGGGAAACTATGGTTTGCAGCAGAAAAAGAGCTGCACCACCTGACCTATACTTTTAAAACTTCTTGTCTTCTTTCGGTGTTATTGGCAGCTTGGATTCCAAACATGCAATGTTCAGGGCTGTGATCAGGCCGAGTCTGGCTGGGCTAGGCTGTGTAGATGTAACCATTAATCCCCAAGCCTTTAAAGCCGGTGTTTTCTGGAGAACTGCACTTTTATGTGAGTTTGGGGCCACATGTTTTTCAGAGAAGTACAATATTCGGTGTATGTGAGTATGGGGCCACACAGACACCTGAGCACATGAAATGGTGCTGGTATGAATTCAGATGCACTGTATGGGCAAAATATACACCAGATTTCCAAGATTTGGTACAACAGAAGAATGTAAATTACATGTTGAAATGATCTTTCGGGTAGATCGGGTTATAAATACATATTTATTATATATTATTATATAAGATATTATGGATTTATACATAATATATTTAGTAATATAAGTACATTACTAAAAGCAATTTCACCTACTTCATGTTGTTTTTTCTAAAGGGCCCATTAGATTTAAAATCTCATCTTGTGGCTTGGATTATATTTCCATTGGACGGCGGCAAGCCCGTGCCATCGGCACCTGACGGGCAAACTTTTAGTTTCGTCTGGCGAAGCGCTGCCTCAGAAAGACTCGGGTGTTCTGGCTACAGGGGCACTGCAGGCGGTCCTCAGCGAACTCCTTCCCTGGAGAATAGGACCCGACTACACCGCAGGAACCACCCAGGGCTATCAGCAGCCGCCTTCACCGCGTCACATTGCCCAGACAACCAGGAAGAAAGGCAACCTTTAAAAGGGGCGGAGCCCTTCAATCAACACCCCTGACGAGACCAATCCACGACCTGAGCGGCCAGTGGTTGTCCTCACCTTCCGGGACTTCACTCGGAGGGGGGCGTGGCCAAAGGCAGAGGCGGGATTTCCTGTCCAGCTGTGCGTAACTTCCGGCGTATACCGGAAGTTCCCTCGGCGAGCTTCGGGAATTTAGAGCGCTGTGTGGCTCTTCGTGGTCGCTGTGGCAGATTGAGGTCTGAGGTTCTTGAAGGGCCTGGCGCGCTGATTACTAGATTATTGGCTTATTCATCTGCCGTTTCTCGCCTGGCGATGGCGACGTACACCTGTATTACCTGCCGCGTGGCGTTCCGTGACGCGGAAATGCAGCGGGCCCACTACAAGACGGACTGGCACCGCTACAACCTGCGGCGCAAGGTGGCCAGCATGGCCCCGGTCACCGCCGAAGGCTTCCAGGAGCGCGTGTGGGCGCAGCGGGCCGTGGCGGAGCAGGAGAGCAAGGGCACGGCTACGTACTGCACCGTGTGCAGTAAGAAGTTTGCCTCCTTCAACGCCTATGAAAACCACCTCAAATCGCGGCGGCACGTGGAGCTGGAGAAGAGGGCCGTGCAGGCCGTGAATCGCAAGGTGGAACTGATGAATGAAAAGAACCTGGAGAAGGGGCTGGGCGTGGACAGCGTGGACAAGGATGCCATGAACGCGGCCATCCAGCAGGCCATCAAGGCTCAGCCGTCCACATCTCCCAGGAAGGCGCCCCCGGCGCCGGCAGAGGAGGAGTCCAAAAGTTCTGTGGCCCAGGCTGCGGGGGGACGTGTGATTCACGAGCGGGACCCAGCCGAGAAACCGCCCCGGCTCCAGTGGTTTGAGCAGCAGGCGAAGAAGTTGGCAAAGCAACAGGAGGAGGAGAGTGAGGAGGAGGTGGAGGAGGAGGACCTGGACGACGAAGGTAATGGCCCTCTCTGGAGGGGCCGGGGGTTGGCGCCCCTTAAGTTTCCAGAGTTATATTCGAGGTGGGGATGTGTGTGTCCGTGACGGTGATGAGGGGAGGTGGTGTAGATGCGTTCTAAAGGGCCTTATCCGGCCAGCATCGCCACCGGGAGTTTTGTCTGTTTTAATCTAATTGCAGATTCAGGGCCCAAAACCTTACCTGAAGAGCGAATAGGTGCTTAATCAATATTTGTGGAACGGGTTGATGTCTTCTCCGTTTCGTATGAGCAGGCTTTTAAAATATACATAGGAGAACATGCTATAGTCGCACCGCCTGCCGTGGGAGTTGTGATTCTACTGGGTTTCCAGTTAACGATGGTTTCTGCACTTAATTTGATTGATTGTAAACAGATGGAGGGGCTCCAGATCAGCAAGCCTGAAACGTGGAGCTTGAACCAGCAACCTAGCCTCCTTGACTTTAGGAGCCTTTTATTTCCTTCTTTTCCCGGCATTCTGTTAACACTGATACTGTGTTTACTCACATACTCCATTTATAACAGAACATGTGAGACTGGTTAATGTATAGACAACATAAACAGTTTGGAAGACTGGGAAGTCTAATGGCAGAATGGCCTTTTTATAAAGGTACTGAGCCACCCGGGCAGAGTCCTCATTACCTAATCATGCAATAAAGGCCCCGCCTTTCAGTACTGTCACACTGGTGGTTAAGCATTGACATGGTGGACACATTCAGATCCTAGCAGTTCCACCACTGCCAAGTGAACACACACCACTGTGCATCTATGAAATGGTAGATACAGACATTGTTCTAGCAGTATATAAAAGTATTCATCTAAATATGAGACCACGGAAGTCTTTAGCACTGGGCTATGAAGCATAGGAAAGAAGCAGTTTACTGTGTACTGGAAAAGAAAGATTAAGGAGTTTTTTTTAGTTATTCAAACTTGTTTGTGGTAAATGAACAGCTGAAATTGAGATCTTAGAGGAAGACTAAGGGTTGGAATTAGTATCCTCTTTCTCCACATACAGTTTGCCTCATGCAGATCATTATGGCATTTTTAATTGTGATTGCCACTTTTCTTTAAACCATGTTTTTCAAAATTCTGGCTTGAAGACTGGGAAGATATTGATTCTGATGAAGAACTGGGATGTGAGGACACTGAAGCGATGGACGATGTGGAAGAGCAAGAAGCAGAGGAGGAAAGCTCATCCCATGGCGCCATCCCTGTAACAGACTGCTTGTTTTGTCTCCATCATTCAAGCTCCCTCATGAAGAATGTGGCTCATATGACTAAAGTCCACAGCTTCTTTATTCCTGATATAGAATATCTTTCAGATCTTAAAGGACTGATTAAATATTTAGGTAAGTACCATAGTTTTCCTTTTTATGAGGAAATACCACAGTAATGAGAGTCAAATTTAAGAGAAGTTTTACGATTCTTACCAGTCGTTGATGTTCATTTTGTGAAAATCAAAGTCTTGGTCAGTGTTTTTGGAGTTGTGGAGATGAAACTTATCCTGGCCACGAAAAGCTTTGATATTTTTTGATAATTTTTCCTCAACTTTTTCAGGAGAAAAGGTTGGTGTTGGAAAGATTTGCTTGTGGTGCAATGAGAAAGGGAAATCCTTCTATTCCACAGAAGCAGTGCAGGCACATATGAATGACAAAAGCCACTGTAAGCTCTTCACAGATGGTGACGCTGCTTTGGAATTTGCAGACTTCTATGATTTTAGGTAAGCCTGTGGTTTGTGATGTGAAGTGAGAAGTAAGGGCATCATATGTACATTGAAGTGATGGTTGATGTGCCAGTGCCAGCACTGTACAGTGAGTATATCCATAACTCTGGTAAGGCCTCTGGAGATGCTTGTTGCCTTAATTTTGTAGATAAGAAGCTCAGTTTAACAGTTTAACACAAGTAGTAAAGAGACGATCTCAGTCCCAAACTGAAGTGTTGTTTTTTTTTTTTTTTTTTTTGACAGGCAGAGTAGACAGAGAGACAGAGAAAGGTCTTCCTTTGCCGTTGGTTCACCCTCCAATGGCCGCTGCGGCTGGCGCGCTGCTGCCGGCGCACCGCGCTGATCAGATGCCAGGAGCCAGGAGCCACGTGCTTTTCCTGGTCTCCCATGGGGTGCAGGGCCCAAGCACCTGGGCCATCCTCCATTGCACTCCTGGGCCACAGCAGAGAGCTGGCCTGGAAGAGGGGCAACCGGGACAGAATCCGGCGCCCCAATTGGGACTAGAACCCGGTGTGCCGGCGCCGCTAGGCGGAGGATTAGCCTAGTGAGCCGCGGCGCCGGCCTGAAGTTTTTTTTTTTTATTATAGAAAGCTTTTATTTAATAAATATAAATTTCATAAGTACAACTATTGGGTTATAGCGGTTCTTCCCCTTATACCCACCCTCGCACCCCGAAACCATCCCACCTCCTACTCCCTCTCCTGTCCCATTCTTCATTAAGATTCATTTTTAATTATCTTTATATACAGAAAATTGACTCTATACTAAGTAAAGATTTCAACAGCCAAACTGAAGTTTGTCTGACTTGTTTTTGTTTTATGTGGTTAAATGGTCAGTTCATTTTGTCAGTTCCCTCATAAACAGATTTGGAAACTGTCTTTCATGTTTTGGGTTTCTCAAAAGTCCTTAAACATAAGCTGTTTCCCAAGGAGTTGAGATAGTTACTAAGCTAGAGCATTTCATGTGAGATTATCCCATAGATAGTTCAACTCCAGATAGAGTCCTGACCAACTCATACATCATGCCATAGATATATTTTGGATGTTCACGAACCACTAGTTCTTGTTGTCAACATTCCTGTGACCCAGGGCAGGAGATAAGCAGCTGTGTAATAACTATACCAGACATGCACAGCCCAGCTGATACTGGTGCTCAGAAAAATCTTAAATCTTTAAGGTCTTCATTTTGCATTTTCTCTCCTGCTTCTCATTTTGCAGTCACGGACTTGTAGTTGGCAAGCGTAAGTAGGGAGTTAGACAGATTGAGTGTCTGCAGAGGTGGAAAGCATCTTCCTCCAGGCAGTAGACAGTATTTATCCCTCTCGGGCATCCTGTCAGTAGTATTTATGACTTTCTGATGGTCGGAGTGGTCAAAGCAAATACCTGAGATTGAGTCAAATGACAACAGTTAAGTGGCTGACTTGAAACGCTGCAGTTCACAATCTCTGGCTTCGCTCGTCTGCACTTAATGTCTGTACTCAGGATTCTATGTCCTGTAAGTCATGACTCCCAAGTGGATTTCTCTAGTATAACCTTCCCTTCAGCTCCAGATTTACATATCCAGTTACCTCCTTGACATTTCTAGGTAAGTGTCCAGAAGAAATCATGAACATATTCAAAGTCAAACTCTTGCTGTGCATCCTAATCTAAGTAATTGTCCTTCCAGTTACTTAAGGTAAAAACCTTGTAGTCAGTCATCTGTTTTCTTTCATGCTTATGTGAAATCTATCACCACATCCTGTTTTACCTACCCTCAAGTTATCTTGGACTGACTGCTCACTACCTCCGTGACTTCCAGGACTTCCATCAGCTTTCACCTGGCTTGCTGCACTACTATTCTGCCTGCTCAGTTTGCTTATTTACATGCTTACCACCTTCTATGTTCTCTTTTTTTTTTTTTTTAATATTTTTATTTATTTATTGAAAGTTGGAGTTACACAGAGAGAGAAGGAGAAATAGAGGCAGAGAGAGAGAGAGAGGTCTTCCATCCACTGGTTCACTCCCCAACTGGCCGCAATGGCCAGAGCTGCGCCGATCTGAAGCCAGGAGCCAGGAGCTTCCTCCAGGTCTCCTATACGGATGCAGGGGCCCAAGGACTTGGGCCATCTTCTACTGCTTTTCCAGGCCAAAGCAGAGAGCTGGATCAGAAGTGGAGAAGCTGGGATTCGAACTTGTGCCCATATGGGATGCCTGCACTGCAGGCGGCAGCTTTATCTGCTACACTACAGTGCTGGACTCTTTGTTCTCTTCTCAAAACTAGCCAGATGGGTTCTTAAAAAATACTAAGTCAGGTGAAAGTGTTCTAAATCTTCCAAAGGCATTCTCTCTCCCCCATCCCTCTGCATCCCCACCTTTAATTTATTTGAAAGGCAGAGAGACTGATGGACAGAGATCTCCCATCTGCTGAGTCACTCCTCAAATGCCTAACACCGAGGGCTGGGCCATTCCAAAGCCAGGAACCCATAATTCAGTCTGGGCTTTCCATGTGAGTGTCAAGGACCCAAGTACTTGAGCCATCACCTGTTGCTTCCCAGGGTGTACATTAGGAAGCTGGAATTAACTATAGAGACTTGAATCTAGACATTCTAATAAGAGATGTAGGTATCCAGTGTCCCAACCGCTAAGTCAAATAGCTACCTCTTAAAGGGCTTTTTGTCTCTCAGGAAAAACCCAACTACAAGGATGTACGTGATCTGGTTTCAGCTGTGGTTTTAGTATTTTACATTTTTTGCTGTCTGGATTCCAGTAATAACATGTGTTTCTCAGGAACCTTTCATTTGCTGTTATCTTTACTTAAAATTTTTGGTCAGTTAGTTACATGACTTGCCCAGTTACTTCCTACTGAATTTAGCATAAATTTCACGTTCTCAGTGTGACCTTCCTTGACCAACTTCCATGAAATAGCAACTTTTACCAATCCTTTTTTATTTTATTTTAATTTTCTTCATGGCCTTTATTGTCTTTTTACATGTTATGTGTTTTTGTTTATTGTCTAAGCTTTAAAAGGGTGGTGTTGTTATTTACTGAGCATTCAAACTGAACCTAAATTTATAACTGATGTAAATGATTCAAGCAGTAAATTTCTCTCAATCAAAATAGTGCTTTTTTCAAAAATAGTGCTTTTTTCAAAAATAGTGCTTTTTTATCTATTCTGTTAAAATGAGAATTGATGTGAGCCTTTATAAAAGTGAATAATAAATGATTGATATATCTTAAATAAGTAAAAATTGATAATGCTCAGTATAGAAAACTTGGAGAGTAAAATGCCTTTACACACAAAGCTTGTTGAGTGCTTACTACCTCCCAGGCACTAGTTAACTGTCAGTTAACAAAATGATAAATTGCTTGTAATCCCACACTTCTTGCCAAGATAACTAGTGTTAACTTATTTTGGACTTGAAACTTTTTCTTGAAGAATGAACTTAGAGAAAAGGACACATACGTATATTTAAGATACCATAAGTCTGTCCAATGAAATTTTAAGTGTAATTAACACCCAGTTGGAGAAACAGAATGTTAGCAATACCCTGACATTTCCCTGTGGATCCTTCTAGAAGCTATGCCTTTTGTCTTCAAGAGTGAATTCTATTGTGACTTAATATTGATTTTGTCTGTTTTTGCATTTTGTATGATGTAATCACAGGAATGTGTTCTTGGGTTTGGCTTCATTTGCTCTACTTTACATTTGTGAGACCCATCTGTACTATTTTTTTTTTTTTTAAGATTATTTATTTTAAAGTCAGAGTTACACAAAGGAGAGGCAGAGAAAGAGAGAGAGAAAGGGAGGGAGGGGAGGTTTTCCATTCGCTAGTCCACTCCCCAATTGGCCTCAGTGGCCAGAGCCAGGAGCCAGGAGCCTCTTCCAGGTCTCCCACATGCAAGGGCCCAAGGATCTGGGCCATCTTCCACTGCTTTTCCAGGCCATAGCAGAGAGCTGGATTGGAAGTGGAGCAGCTGGTACTTAAACAGGTGCCCATGTGGGATGCCAACACTGCAGGCAGTGGCTTTACCTGCTACGCCACAACCCTGGCCCCAATCTGTACTATTTAAAAAAAAATTGTTATTTATTTGAAAGGCAGAGTTACATAGGGGCAGAGACAGAGAGATCGTCTGTCCTCTGGTTCATTCCCCAAATGACTGCAATGGCAGGAGCTGGGCCAATCCGAAGCCAGGAGCCAGGAGCTTCTTCCAGGTCTCCTACACAGGTGCAGGGGCCCAAACACTTGGGCCATCCTCCACTGCTTTCCCAGGCCATAGCAGGGAGCTAGATTATAAGTGGAACATCCAGGACTCGAACCAGTGCCCATATGGGATGCTGGCACTGCAGGCGGCAGCTTTACCTACCAGGCCACAGTGCTGACCCCCATCTGTACTATTTTGTGTAGCTATGGATGATTCATTCTCATTCTTGTGTTTTGTTGTGTGCTCCACAATGTCTAGACTACTCTTGATGTACATTTGAATAGCTTCCGGTTTAGGGCTGTTACTAATAATGCTACTACGTAATTCTAGTATGTGTCTTTATTCAAATGTGTACATATTATTTGTTGTATATTTAGGAGTTGCATTAGAGAATATGTTCAGTTTTAGATGATACTGTGAAATTGTTTTGCAAAATTGTTCTCTATATGGGAGAACTTTTGATTTTAGCCACTTTGGTGGGTTTTAATTTGTTTATGGTGAATACCAATGTAATTAAGAATTTTTAATGTATTGGCCATTTGGATATATTTTTGTGAAGTGCGTGATTAAGTCTTTTTTTGTGTTTTTCTGTTGGGTCTGGCCTGCTCTTAGTATTTTAATGTACATTTTGCCACTTATTTTTTGTGTATGCCTGTGAATATGGATTTGTTAAAATTTATTTGTAGGAGTGAGAGATTCTTCTTTACCTGACCTGTCCAATAAGATAATTACTAGATGTGTCATTAAAATGAATTAAGCATTAATAAATTCAGTTCTTTAGTCATATTGCTTACATTTGAAGTGCAGTGTTTAAAAGCACATGTAATTAGATGGAGCTTCCATATTGAGCAAATAGACTTGAACATTGCTATCAACAAAGTTCTGTTGGACAGCACTGTTGTAGAATTTGTTTTTATAATGAGTAAATTGATTAGAGCTACTTGTCCAACTCTTCATTCTTCCTCTTTTCTCTGTTTGTTTTAGGGAAAAACAAGTTCAAGAAAGGATTCTTTCTGTTCTGAGTCGTTTGCTCACTTTTGCTACAGAGAAAATGCTAATAAGTTGTTTTCTTTTGCTAAACCTACCTTTTAGGTGGCTAGTGAGTTTGCCACATTTGCACATATCACGTGTGTCTCTTAGGTAAGATAGGAGTATTAGTCTGATTCTTCATGCCAATGTACTGTTTGTTATAGGAGCAGTTACCCAGATCACAGGGAGGGAGAAGACCCTGATGAAACTGAGCAGTTGCCCTCAGAGAAGAACTTGGAATATGATGATGAAACTATGGAGCTGATTCTGCCTTCTGGTGAGTGCCTTTATCAACAGTGCCAGTAGGATTGTCTGAGCTGCATATCACCATTATTATCTTTCATATTATTCCTCATTATTTCCATGAGGGAAATAGGACATAAAACTTGAAGTGTGTGTTTATGTTCTCATATGTATGGTATACTTTGGGTTGTCACTTACCTTGAAATTAGCTGTTTGTTTTTTTAAGATTTATTTATTTTTACTTGAAACTCAGTTACAGGGCCAGTGCTGTGGCGCAGCAGGTTAATGCCCTGGCCTGCAGTGCCGGCATCCCATATGGGCACCGGTTTGAGACCTGGCTGTTCCACTTTCGATCCAGCTCTCTGCTATGGCCTGGGAAAGCAGTAGAAGATGGCCCAAGTCCTTGGGCCCCTGTACCCACATGGGAGACCTGAAAGAAGCTCCTGGCTCCTGGCTTCTGATCAACACAGCTCTGGCTGTTGTGGCCAATTTGGGAGTGGACCGCCGGATGGAAGACTTATCTTTCTCTCTCTCTCTGCCTCTGCTTCTCCTTCTTCTCCTTCTCTCTGTGCGTAACTCTGACTTTCAAATAAATAAATAAATCTTAAAAAAAAAAAAAAGAGTTACACTGACAGAGGAGAGGCGGAGAGAGAGAGGGTCTTCCATCTGCTGGTTCACTCCCCAGTCGGCGATAATGGCTGGAGCTGCGGCGATCCGAAGCTAGGAGCTTCTTCCAGGTCTCCCATGCAGGTGCAGGGGCCTAAGGACTTGGGTCATCTTCTGCTTTCCCAAGGCCATAGCAGAGAGCTGGATAGGAAGTGGAGCAGCTGGGACTGGAATCAGCACCCATATGGGATCCCGGCACTGCAGGCAGTGGCTTTACCAGCTGTGCCACAGCGCCAGCCCCCTGCTGTTTCTTTTCGATTTGAACAATGCTTTTTGCTTTGATTGAGTGTCCCTGCCTCCCTTCCTTTCTCCCTTTTTTTTTTATTAAAATATGTAGACCTTTTCTGTACTGTTCTCATATAGATTTTTTGGGTCCGATTTATGTTTTTCTTTACTCTAATTCACTGAGCTGCTTCTTGTTTCCTTAGCTGCTCAGGCTCCAAATGGTTGGCTGGCATGTGAATTTCTGACGGACAGTGTCTGAGTTGCCTGACTGTATTCTAGTTGTAGGAGATACTTTGAGTTCTTAAAATTCTGCCTTTGGGGAACAGGATTCTTGGTTGGAATTTATCCCTGGTATGAGAAGATGAAGAATCACCATGAATATAGAAAGTTATCCACTGTTTTTCATGTGGGAAGAAAGAATAGGAAAAGATGTAATTAATAGCTGAAAGGCTGGAGAAATGAATAGAATGGCAGACAAAAGATTCTAATAATTCGTGGCACTTTCTTAGCATGTTCAAGCTTTTCAGCAAGCCTGCAATTTAGATTCTACATACTCATTTGACTTATGAAATTTAGGAGGTTGAAGTAACATGCCCAAGATCACACATCTAGTCGGTTGTTGCTCCCCCTCTTCGCGGAGGAACGACACAGGACCCTGAGCTGTTCTTTTGTCTGCTTGGCCCTCCCCGGGTTTGCTGCTGGTTCTTCCCGGGTTGCTACCGACCCTTCCACCTCCGTGGAAGGGCGGTTCCCCCTGCCACTTTCCCCACTTCCGCGGGGGAGCGGCACACCGCCGGCCGGCTCTCTTGGGGGCTGCACAGGTGTTCCTTCAGATAGATGTTCCTGGTGCATGTTGTCTCTCTCCTCCTTTATAGTCCTCTTCCACCAATCCCAACTCTGCTGCCCACACGCCGAGTACGCTGCTCTCCTCCAATCAGGAGCAGGATCAGCTCCTGGAGGTCATCACTCAAGTTGGCGAGAGACAGCTGCATAGAAGCTGTTTACTCCTCTCCCAGCGCCATATTGTGGGAGAGCAGATGCATAGACTAAGTCTTAATTCCAGTAACAGTCTAGTCCGAGTTGCTCCCCACAGTCGGTGAAGCCTCTTTCCCACTTCTATACACTGCCTTTGGAGATTTGCGATAATGGTGAGGGCAGGAACAGCACACAATGCCAATGGAGATTTCCACAGTGAAGAGAAGCCCCTTTAACATTGCCCTTCACAGACAACCATGTGTAACTCGGAATCATAACCTCTTAAGACAGGGGCAGCTTTAGCAGCTGATGGCAGAAGGAAAGTGCAAGCAGAACCCATCTTGAAGATGTAATTCTACAATGACAAGAAAATTAAAATGCCATGTAATGTGGTGGCCTATGTAATACTCAATTGCAAAAGCCTAAATATAATCACAGAAAACCTTCTAGTCTTCCTCTAGTGAAAGTATTAATACAGAACATCAGAAATAATGTTTCATAACTTTTTTTTTTCAGGACTATTTGTTTAGACTCTTGTCTCATTCACTTCCACTTCTTAACTGTAGAATAAGATAACTACATTAGCACATGCTACAAGCATGTGCATGAATGAACATATATTTGAGAAAAATTTTCACCTGAACTTTACACTTTTGAAACTTAAAAATATAAAGAATTCTTAGCCTTGTAGAAAACATTTTTTGTGGGTGAGTTTGTTGCCTAAGGTTAAGCAAAGGCCAAATTAGGTGTCTTTGTGGGATCTCTTCCTCTCCTACATACAGATGATTTGGCAGTCCCTAGATGTCTTCTGAGTGTTTTTGTTTTCTTTTAATCCAGGTCTGTGTCCTCATGACAAATAACTGTCCATTTCCAGGCTGGTTTCCACACAAACCGAAACAGAACATTCTTTTTAAAGCAACAGTATATTTTTTTGTCCCCTGGAATTCCTGGAATGAAGCCATTGCTTTTGGATAACTTGTAGTTTCTCTGGCTTCTGGCCCCTTGGGCGTCTTGTGCTGTTCCCTTACTACTCACCTATAGTTGCTTCTTCTGGCTCTTTGTGTGTGTCATGCCTGTGTCTTCCTCTTACGCCTTCTGTAAGACTCATCTTACTTGGCTTTATCCTCCTGGGAAGTCTTTCTGAATTCCTCTCCTGTTCTTCTGTTGGTTGTTGAGAGTTCCCTCTGCTCCCGGGACATGTGGTATATCTGTGATAACCTTCACCTTACTCCTTTGTAGTTGTTGGCTTGTTTGTCTCCCCCCATAGTTTTGGAACTGAAAACTGCTTCTTTTACCTTTTCATCTCAGTTTAGGTTCTCAGACACACAAGAACCAGATAAATGTTGACTGAGAAGGTGGAGGCAACTATTGAAAAGAAACGAAAGTTGATTCTCTTGGGCTTGGAATGAATGAAGAGCAGAGCAGAGGGAGTTCTCGGGCTTGAGTCACATTTGTCTGTGTTACTGTTTGATGTCTGGGGAGAAGATTGATTTGCTTTTATATTGTGTAGTCAAAGAAGAAAGTAGCATGAGATTAGCTTAGCTTTTTAACATGTGGGTTTCCTTGTTTACAGCTGCAGGTCCAGTTACTGAGTTGTGTTGTTTTAAACTGTTCTGGAACAACCTTAGGACAGCATTTTGACATGGACTTTGAGGTAGTGGGGTACCCAGTTTGGTACTAGGATATTGTGAAATGCTGTGCTTTTGAACTGGAACACCCAGGAAAAACCCAGCCAACAGCTATAAACTATCTTACTGCAAGGGTTCGTTATTTATTTATTTATTTATTTATTTATTTATTTTTTACAGGCAAAGTGGACAGTGAGAGAGAGAGAGACAGAGAGAAAGGTCTTCCTTTGCCGTTGGTTCACCCTTCAATGGCACCGCGCCGCGCCTATCTGAAGGCAGAAGCCAGGTGCTTTACCTGGTCTCCCATGGGGTGCAGGGCCCAAGCACCTGGGCCATCTTCCACTGCACTCCCTGGCCACAGCAGAGAGCTGGCCTGGAAGAGGGGCAACCGGGACAGAATCCGGTGCCCCGACCGGGACTAGAACCTGATGTGCCGGCGCTGCAAGGCAGAGGATTAGCCTAGTGAGCCGCGGCGCCGGCCCCTACAAGGGTTCTTAAGTAGACCATGCACATTTTTTCTGTGTGGGCAAAGCCAGGAGCCAGGTGCTTCGTCCTGGTCTCCCATGCGGATGCAAGGGCCCAAGCACTTGGGCCATCCTCTACTGCTATTCCCAGCTACAGCAGAGAGCTGGACTGGAACAGGAGCAACTGGGACTAGAACCTGGTGCTCATATGGGATGCCAGCGCCGCAGGTAGAGGATTAACCAAGTGAGCCACAACACTGGCCCCTGCCGTAGATTCTTAAAAGCATCTGTACCTGGAGAAGATTAAAGAAGAAACATCTGTATATAAGGCATTCTCTGCCTTCAGAGGCCCTCTCAGATGACTGAGAACTTAGAGTAAGTCTTTGTTTAATGACAGTAAAATAGATTTCAGAGTGAATAAAAAATGACCAGTATTGTGAAATTTCTTCCATCTGGACTGATATGATATTTTTCATGTTGCCCATACTTTTACTAACTCAAGTTTTACAAATCAGTTGTGCCAGGGCCGGTGCTGTGGCGCAGTGGGTTAAAGCTTCAGCCTGCAGCGCTGGTATCCCATATGGGAACTAGTTCAAGTCTCCGCTGCTCCTCTTCTGATCCAGCTTTCTGCCATGGCCTGGGAAAGTAGTAGAAGGTGACCCAAGTCCTTAGGCCCCTGCACCTGCATGGGAGACCTGGAAGAAGCTCCTGGCTCCTGGCTTTGGATCAGTTCAGCTCTGGCTATTGTGGTCATTTGGGGAGTGAACCCGTGGAATGGAGACCTTTCTCTCTCTGGCTCTACATCTCTCTGTAACTCTGTCTTTCAAATAAATGAAAAATCCTAAAAACAAAATACAGACAAAAAAAATCAGTTATGCTTTAGTCAGTCAGGTTTATTATGAGACATTGGTTTGTTCCTGAATCTCAATATTGGTTTGGGGTGTTTTTTTTTTTTTAATGATCCAAGAAAATGGGAGATCTCTGATCAAACACTATATAAAATGTAGCAACAACATATTTAATCATCACCTATTTATCTCTGAACAAATTTACATTCAGAAACCTCTTCCATTGTGCTCATTTGTATGATTGGCTTAGCATGGATATTAGCTTGAAACCCATTTTGAAAGGATTCTTATGTGTGGAAGTTAGTGAATTTTTTTTAAGCTTTATTTTATTTATTTGAAAGAGTTACAGACAGAGGTAGAGACAGAGAGAGAGGTCTTCCATCTGCTGGTCCACTCCCCAGATGGCCGCAACAGCCAGAGCTGTGCCGATCTGAAGCCAGGAGCTTCTTCTGGGTCTCCCACGCTGCTGCAGGGGCCCAAGGACTTGGGCCATTTTCTTCTGCTGCAGTAGAAAATCCCAGGCCATAGCAGAGAGCTGATGGGAAGAGGAGCAGCCAGGAGTAGAACCGGTGCCCATATGGGATGCCAGCGCTTCAGGCCAGGGTGTTAACCCGCTGCGCCACAGCACCGGCCCCGAGCTTAGTGATACTGAATCAGCTACACTTGGTGCCTATTTTAAATGGTTAAAGTAGTAATTGTGATACTCTAAACCTAGTTACTTAGATTGTGTGTGTGTGTGTGTGTTTTTAAAGATTTTATTTATTTATTTGAGAGGTAGAGTTACAGACAGTGAGAGGGAGAGACAGAGAAAGGTCTTCCATCTGTTGATTCACTCCCCGATGGCCGCAATGGTCAGAGCTGTGCTGATCCGAAGCTAAGAGCCAGGTGCTTCTTCCGGGTCTCCCATGTAGGTGCAAGAGCCCAAGAACTTGGGTCATCTTCTACTGCTTTCCCAGGCCATGGCAGAGAGCTGGATTGGAAGAGGAGCAGCTGGGACTAGAACTGGCACCCATATGGGATGCGGGTGCCACAGGCGAAGGATAAACCAACTGCTGTCACAGTGGCAGCTCTCAACTTGTATTTTAATCATTTAAGTAGATGATTATGAAGCCAATGACAAACAGCATCCAGTAGAGGGCACTCTGAGCATTTCTTTTGAAGACTCTAGTCTGGCTCAGTCCCTGTGTTCTGTTTTCCTCATTGCTCTTCAGTTCTTACCGAGGAAGCCTGTCTGAAAGACACATTCAGTTAGCTGTTGACTACCCTGATGAAACTGTTGGTAGGTCCACAGGCGATACATAGCTAATGTTCTTAGGAAAATGACAGTTTGGAATTTTGTTTTCCAGTATCCAGTTTAATCAACAGGCTATTTGTTACTGCTATGGTAAAAACTAGATGGACAGGTTGTGTGCTTCACCATAACTCATACATAACCAATCCTTTATTTATTTTGGTTGTCATACTATGTCCTGAAAATATTATTTTTATGTATTTTTGATGAGGACTTTTGAGTTGGACTGTTTTTTGCACTGTACAGTTGGTGCTAATGTCAGGTGCTTCCTCATTGACATAGAGTGGGAATAGTGCTAAACACTGAGTTTTCATTTCTGTCCTACTAGCTGTCAGAAACCTTGGCATTAAGTAATGAAGCCTGTTCAAGGATTTTTTTTTTTTAACTTTTATTTAATGAATATAAATTTCCAAAGTACAGAATATTGATTACAATGACATCCCCCCCATAACGTCCCTCCAACCCGCAACCCTCCCGTTATCTACTCCCTCTCCCCTTCCATTCATGTCAAGATTCATTTTCGATTCTCTTTATATACAGAAGATCAGTTTAGCATACATTAAATAAAGATTTCAACAGTTTGCTCCCACACAGAAACATAAAGTGAAAAATACTGTTTGAGTACTAGTTATAGCATTAAATCTCAATGTACAGCACACTAAGGACAAAGATCCTACATGAGGAGTAAGTGCACAGTGACTCCTGTTGTTGACTTAACAAATTGACACTCTTGTTTAAGCCAGCCTTCAGTAAGATATTTCTCAGTGTTGCTTAAGAATATTAATATATTGATTGTATATAATATATTAATATGTACTTATGACCAGCATTGTTATTCCCTGGCTTGGGAGTAATTGTTTTTACAAATATGTCCTGAATTAATATTGTAAAGAGAAAATCAGTTAAGCAATCCTGAAAGATTGTTTTTGCCATCTCCTGAATATGATCACAAAGCAAGCAACTTTTCCATATCTATTTAGCCAGCGAACTATTTTCCAAGTAGGAACGTAAAATAACGTGATTGGAAAGAATATCATAAAGGCAAATGCAGCCTTCCGAAATAAACTATCATGTTCATAGTCTTTTTACTTGAAAGATTCTCTGTGTTTTTATATGTGTAAATGTAAACACTTTTCTAGCAACTGGGTTTTAGCCACATTTATTTTAATTGGAAATAGCTGTTTTATACTTTATGTACATGTTGTTGATAAGTATCTGCATGTTTATGGGCTTCTGGGAAGGTATTTGATTACTTATACCCTCGATTAAAATTCTATGAAAGCATAGCATGTATTTAGTAAGCACTTAGGTGATGCTGATGCCACTGGTCTGGGGACTATCCTTTGAGAGCCACTGCTGTGATGGAGCCTGGCTCCTGCAGTTTCATCTGTTGTGAAGCTGAGACACAGGTTGGGATGTTGTTCCTGTAAAGGACCAGAGGCAGTAGTTCAGGTTTTGAGTGCCATCGTGTCTCTGCAGTTCTCCAGCCCTGCTGTTGTGGTATGAAAGCAGCTGGAGGTAATACCTACACAGATGAGTGCATGTGTGTGTGATCCAGTTCTATGAACAAAACATGACAGTGGTCAGATTTGGTTGTCTGGCTGTAGTTTGCTACCCTTCCTATTAAAAGATATGCCCCACCCTTAAATAAGGGCCTTGATTTGTTCTTTTGTAAATATCTTTATTCCCTCAGATTTTTGTTTTTGTTAAATTTTAGTTCCAAAGTTTTTGATGGTCAGTCCCTTTTCCCCATAGTTTTCTTATTTGAAATGTACAGGATCTCTTTTTCCCATTGTGTTAAAGTTGGTAATGGTCCTATCTGATAATAACATACACAGTCATATATTGTAATAACATCATAATATGTTTGAAATTAAAATCAGAGTATGATTAGCTCAAAAAATTTAGCAGCTCCTTCTAAATAAGCAAAAGCTGTGAAGAGAGTGCAGCTTAAATGCCTTTTAAAATCCTGGCTTAGCAGGTGATTTCATCACTTAGGAAGCAGTAGAAAGGAGTTCCTCAACCTTGGCACTGTTGACATTTTGGGCTAGGTAATTGTGCATTTGAAGATACTTAGCAGCATCTTGGGCTTTTACCCACTAGATGCCAGTAGCACCTTCTACTTGTAACAACCAAAGCTGTCTCCAGTTAGTGCCAAATGTTTCCTATTGGATAAAATTGCCCCTTGAAGATTGAATTTGAAAAGCTCTTGCTTTATAGCTCTGCCTTGCAAAAACTATCTAATTCAATGTTTATATATTGCTCTTATGGAAAACAGGTGCCAGAGTGGGGCATCGCTCCTTGATGAGATACTACAAACAGCGATTTGGCTTATCAAGAGCTGTTGCAGTTGCTAAAAACCAGAAGGCTGTGGGCCGGGTACTCCAACAATACAGAGCGCTGGGATGGACTGGCAGCACAGGTTTGTTGGTGTTTACAACTATGAATGGGCTCAAGAACTTATTTTTCCAGAAAGAGCTTGGGTGAAGTTGTTTCCATTTATGTGTTCTTATGGATCCTATCCAAGGGAAACTTAACCTCTTGTCTCTGGGAGCTTCCACTACCACTTAATAATGTTAATGGCAATAAGCACAAAGCTGCATGTCTTAAAAGTTTCATATTCTTGGTATAATAATTTCATGTATACTATCAACTTTTTCAGAAGACAATAGTTAGAAAAAGGATGATTTAGTAATCATCAAAAGTTGAAATTATCCTGAAGGCTACACAAAGGAATTAAATAGTATTCCAGTGGTTAATAGCTTAAGCTGTGGAGTCATGCATGACTTATAGGATGTACTTATAGATTCTCAGATGATGAACATGAGTAATCTAATTAATCTAAGCTTCTACTTCCTCATTTATACAATGGATATGATAACGATAGTATCTGCTTCTATGAGTTGAGATTTTAATATTATAATACATGCTCATGTGATGCAGTCCATAGGAAACTTAGTCAAAAGAATAAAGCACACTCCAAGATATTGATGTAGTTGACGACTTCTTGGATAAGACCCCCAGAGCATAGGCAACCAAAGCAAAACTAAACAAATGGTATTGTATCAAACTCAGAAACTTTGGCATAGCAAAGTAAACGATCATAGAGTGAAGAGACCACCAACAAAATGGGAAAAAATATTTGCAAGCTACCTATCTGACAAAGGATTAATACCCTGACTAAATCAGCCAATTGAAAAGCTCAACAACAAAAAAATAACCAATCCAGTTAAGAAATTGGGCACAGGACCTCAGTAGTTCTCAAAAGAGGAAATGCAAATGGCCAGCAAATATAAGAAAAAATGCTCACCATCACTAGCCATCAGAAAAGTGCAAATCAGAACCACATGAAATACAACCTCAGCCCCATCAAATGGCTAAAATCCAAAAGACAAGGATTAACAAATGCTGGTATGGATGTGGAGAAAGGGGAATGTTTATACACTGTTGGTGGGAATGTAAATTAGTACAATCACTGTGGAAAACAGTAGTTAGATTTAAAAAACTAGAAATGGACATGCCCTGTCATCCAGCAATCCCACTATTGGGTATATATCCCAAAGACATGAACATGTTGTATCAAAGAGATACCTGTACCACCATGTTTATAGCAGTGCTGTTCACAATAATCAGAATTACGAATCAACCAAGTTGTCTATTATCAGATCATCAGGTGAATGGATAAAGAAAAATACACATATACAAATACAATAGAATATTATTCAGCTATAAAAAGAGTGAAATTCTACCATTTGCATCAAAATGGATCCAGCTTGGAGGACCTGATAAGCCAGACACAGAAAGACAAATACTTCATGTTTTACCTCATATGTGGGAGCTAACACTAAAAATGAAAAACAATTTAAAAACAAAAGCAGAATAAAGAAATGCCTGTATCAGTATTGCCACAAATATATTTTTGTCAAATTTTGTTTTATGTATTTGTCCAACCAGTGGTTAAAAATTGTGATACTATAGTTTTAATGATCTGTGGTTATTTCAGAATTTATTGTATATGGGTGAAATGTTCATCCTTCCATTTGATTATTGTTTATAGCTCTTGCCTATATTCCTGCTGAAATAGGGTCTTTACGTTTTATTGTTGATCTCTTTATTTAGTGGAGCATTAAGCCCTTGACTGTAATGCTAATTAAAAATATGTTATCTGAAAAATTAAAAAAGAACAAAAGAGAGAGGATGAAGTGGGGGAGGAAGGAAATATTATAAAAATTGTATCTGTGAACTTCATTGACCCTGTTTTCTTTGTATTAATATTACATTAACATGAAAAAAATAAAGTATTGTAAAAGAAAAAAAAAAAAGAAAAAACCCACACACACAAAAAAAGAAAGAAAGAAAGCAGGCCGCTGAAATTGTTAAGCTTTGAAACCTTATCGATACAATATTATTTACATTTGTTCTGATACATCTGCAGGAAGCCAGTTATCCTTAGACCTTCAGGGAAAATATCAACTGTGGAGAGGATAAGAGGACAGCTGCTTTCTGATGGTCTGGAAAGCTCTGAGCAACTGAAATCCATTTAAATCCACTGTGTTTTACGTACATGTGCTTTCTGTCACTGTGGCTGCTTGGGAGATATGAGGATGCTTGAGTCTAACAAAGACTGACTTCATCTTGCTCTTGTCAGGAATTTATTTGACTCCATTTATAGTTTCTGCCCTTCTCTATCCTCAGATCCATGGGCCTGCACTTTCTGTGCATATAAACCTTTCCAATGATTAGAACTAAAGATGCTCATCCCAGAGAAATGTATATATCCAAGAGTTCTGGGTTGCAATTCTAGGGTGCACGTAGACCCCCAAAGCCCAGCTAGCAACTTCTTTAAATTACCTCAAACTTTTGGAGTCTCGGCAAAGACTGAGTTTTCTCTAATCACAAGTAACAGACTTTTGCGTCATTTCTTCACCCCTTTGTAACCACAGGAGCAGCTCTAATGCGAGAACGGGACATGCAGTATGTTCAGAGGATGAAATCAAAATGGATGCTGAAGACAGGAATGAAGAACAATGCCACCAAGCAGATGCACTTTAGGGTTCAAGTGAGATTCTGAGTGTCTGCCAGGACTGAGTGATGTGTCTCCTGCACAAGTTTCCACCTTGAGGACCACCAGAAGCCAAACTGTGGACCCCTTTGCTGCTACTTCATTTGTTCTGATCTGATAATAAAAAATCTGGATTATATTGGCTTTCAAATGTCATTTTTCAATAGTGTTTAGATCTTATGGTTTTACAAACCTGTACTTTTGTGTGGCAGTTGCTTCATTGCTTCAGCTTTTGAATAATTTATGGCTCTTCACATAATGTGGGAAATTCAGGAGGGACGTATCCACTTCAAACTTAGCTGAACTTTAAAAATAGCTCACTGTGTTACGGCACTGGGGCCTATGTAGTTGAACTTTGAGGCTTACGTAAGAAGAGCAAAGTTGAATGTTGCTCACTGAATGTGTGTGTCATGGCTCTTGAGGTGGTGAATCACTGCAGGTACATTCACTATATTCAGGAATGTTGAAGAGCATGCTAGTGGCTTGCTGTGAAGTTTTTTTAGTTCTAAATGTGAACACACTCCC